GATTAGGTATCTATAGTACACGAAAAACCCTCGTTCAGTTATTTTTTTACTTTTTAGCGGCTTTTTTTCAAGTCCGTTTAATATTTTGCTATGCGAGCGGTCGCGAGTTTGAGTCCCGCTAGATGCATTCATTTGTATGATGAGCACGAATGTTTGTATTCCAGTTATGGGTTTATATTTATAATATTATATATTATGTATTCAAAGTTATATAGGTATGTGTAGAGTACCAACTATCTGGTATCGATAACACAAGCCTCGTAGCTTACCATGGAACTAGATGGTGTTGTGTGTTAATGTTCCAAATAATATTTATTTATTGCTTAAAATAACACTAAGTAAAATGTTGACTATGACATACGGACATACGAAATTCTAAATACGTTTTGTATTCATATAAAATAGATGCTGTTTAAATGTCCCAATTGATCTAAATTTATTATGTCAACACTGTTCTTATTTAAACAGTTTCTGCCGTAAATAGAAACAAAACAATCTACCTAAGTGTAATAAATCGCTGAAACTAATGTTGTATAAAAAATTTTAACTACTGTGTGGAAGCACCAGAAGGCTTAATTCTGACACAAACAATAACAACTAATATTGATGCAATAGTACATACCATTGCATCATATGGTTTGTAGTGACTCTGCCTCCAGCGGTCGCGGGTTCGAGTCCCGCTGGAGGCATTTGTTTATGTGATGAGCACGAACATTCTTACTCCAGTCATGAGTGTTTATAACTATAATATGTATATATTTAAATTTATATATATGTAATGTATCAATTATCTGATATCCATAACACAAGCCTCGTAGCTCACCATGGAACTAGATGATGCTGTGTGTTAATGTACAAACACATTGATTTATTTTATTTATATCTAACCTTTTTCTGATTTACCTTGACGAATGCTAAAAAAACCACTTACAAATGACATTTGAATGAAGGAGACAAATAAAACCATAGACAAGGAGATAAAATACGTTTATTTCTTAAAATTTGTCAATAATAATTCAGATACGCGTACAACCGTACGTTACGATATACACAACGAAATTGTTTTACTTAGCACACTACCGGGAGCCGAGCGGGTTCGACTCCCGTTTATTAGCATTTTAAATGCCTTATAATTATATTAATCGATTATGTCACACAATTCTGCTCACTACATGACTATTCTAACTCAGGATGGACTCTGATGAGTTTTCATAACCAAAGACCGAATTAATTAAAAAAAAAGATTTTTTAAATTAAAAAAAAAACAATTAAAACAACATCGACATAACCCAAATCAAAAAAGTCAAGCAGTAAGCATTAGTAGCCGATACATATTACATACACTATACGCTCCCTTGTCTTTATTTAATAATTAAAAAATCACTGGACCTATTTGGATGAAACTTAGACAACACACATTCGCCCATACACACTCATACACACATAGTGAACGACACCTAACTATATAACCTTATCAGAATCGGTCCAGCCGCTTAAGACACTAGGGGATATTCTTCAAGACCTGATAGGATATATCCTAAGAGCCCTTCTCCAACCACGAAAAATTGCGACGCAACAAAAATGTATAATGGCTAAGCCATTTTCGAGTGAACTTTCACGTACGAAACAGGAGCGACGTTACAAACGTACTAAAGCCTCAAATATTTCACAATAATATTCTAACTACATTCTAAGTGCTTCCATGGTCGTCTATTTTATACTAATCTATATATAGTATAGCGCTAACGTAACATTTAGTTTACATTTCTCATTTATTATTAGGTATATTTTATACTATTATATGTATGTATGTATGTATGTATAATTTACACCGAAACCGAGTGATAAATGTATTTTTTTAACAAAATTTCTAAATATTGCCAACTTGGCAGAGTGGCTAAGTTTTTTTACATATTGCCAACTTACAGATATAGAATAGTATATATAACATTGAAGTATATGAAATACTCTCTCCTATACTTTATACAAAGAGTCAATAATGCCATTTACGGCACAATGTTATAACTATAAAAATTTTCGAGTGCCAACTTATGAAAATATTTTTTTATATAAATTCATCAAGTCTTCTGTATCATTCGAAATCAAAATCAAAAACTCTTTTATGTGGAAGTTAAATAAGTGAATTTTCAAATTAAAAACGCCATTTCTTGCATCGATAGAACAAAAAATCAATATAGTCATTCTGAATCTAATACAATAGGAAACTATAATCGCCATGTAAAAATTAAAAATAATATATATAAGCGTATTTAACACTTAAATATTTGATTAAAACCATATTGCATAAAAAAATTGTTGACAAAAAAAATGAAAACAAAAAAACAACAACATTGGCATTGTATTATTTCAACAAAAATATTTGTTTATTCTGAAACCCTGTTGAACTATTTAGGGACTAAATATCTTAAAAAAACTATCTCTTCGGATTTTTTTAGTAGTTTCAATTTGAGTTCTTGTTCAAATAAAAAGAAAACCTTTTTTTGTTAAAAACAAAAAAATGCATAATTTTGTGATAATCTTAAGTCTCTTCCATGACCATATTTGCTATAAAGCATTCAAAATGTCGGAAAGAAAAAATCAAAATAAAACCGCGACAAAATCCGAAAAAACGGCTTTATTAAAAATGTATAAGTATTATGAATAAAAAATTTGAATGACTTCAAATCAACAACCTTTGTTGTTAGTATTCTAGAACTGTAGAAATATTAAAAAGTTTCTTTGAAATCTATAAAAAAATCAGATTAACATTTATTTACGTGAAAACAAGCCATTAATACCACTTTTAAGAAATATTCAATTTTTTTGAATAATAAAACTAATTTGATCGATATTTTAAAAATAAGACTTAGAACCGAACTTATAACTATAGAAAATCGTACAAACTGTATTGCATATAATTTCCATTAAAAAAAACAATATTCTGAAGAAAATGCGCTTTTTTAATCTGTGACTATATTTTAGTCTGTGGTACTTTTGAGATGTGATCTGTTAAAAAAATATCATGTTCGTCAATAGTATGTTCAATATTAAAGAACATTCTTAAGTTTAAAAAAAATATAATATTAAAAAATTCTCATGTAATTTCATAAAACATAGACAATTAATTTCTTTTTAAAAACGATCGAAAAAGACCTTCAATTACAAGTCTTCAGGAATAACTCGTCAACATCATTTAGAATTTTAAATCTATCAAAAGAGATTTAAATTTACTTATATAAAGTTAGTGCAAATATAAAAAACCCCGACAGACCGAGATTTTTTATTTATTTTTGTATACAATTCGCTAGTGTTCAACAAGAATTCAAATACATTGTACTTCATATGAAATTCGATAATCGCCCTATTATTTAAGATTAGGGACATTTAACAAATTAACTCTTGCAAGGAGCAATATTGTAACACTATATCGAGATTATGTAAAAATAGAAATTAATCTGTCATATCTTTATTATAGTCCAAATTCAAAATTGGTACGAAACTGAGTTACAATATTTATCTTTGCAGGTTACGAAAAATCTTAGAAATTAAAAGAAAAACATAGATATTTATTTATTTAAAAAAAAGTTTCTATATATATGCCGCAGGGATTTGTAAGATCCGCTAAATTATAATTTCGCTAGTGAAATTGTAAGTATCCGGAATTTTGTCATTCGCCTTCTTTTCTTACAATATCACGGGACAATTTTAGGTAAATTATAGATTCGCTAGTGAACTTATAATTTAACGGATCTTACAATTTCTTTACGACATGTATATCAAAATACGATGTATTTATATGGCTGTAGTCGTTTATTGCAATTTGTAATTTTTCTTAAGCATTCTTATGAAAAGAATTGAATAAGTTATAATAAAATTATGTTTTGTAACTAAAATTTTTAGACATTTCTAATGATTAACCGGTTATAAATTTTAGGTGAGTTTTTTTTTATTTTTAATCTGTAAAATCTACAATATTAGTGCAAAGGTATTCAAATACTATGTAACTAATTAAAATAAATTATATTCAGAATGATTGCACTTTGAGTTTAAAAAAAAATTGTACAGTGAGCTTCAAAAATATGTTTCGACCTTACAATGAATGTTTAAGCATCAAACATTTATATTCACCAAATTTTTGAAAAATCCTTAAAAATATCTTATAGCGAATGTTAAATAACAGAGTATGATATTTCAAGAAGAATCGAAAGAACATAATATGAATGTATGCCCCTTTGGTTATATCTTCTTTTCATTTATGTGATGATATTTAAAAAAAACACAAATCATAAGTAAACTTTTGAAGCCGACTGTACAAAGTCAATGTATATTAAATATGCAAACCGGAAATCCCTAACTTAGTAACTAAACGAAAAATAATATGCCTTTACTTAGCGTAACTTAGAAGCACTCGAAACGACACTTTATACTTAACAAATTAAGGTTCAAAATAAAAAGATCCTCAAACGTCACTGTTCATTTATTGCTATAACACTCACCCGCGCCGGTACATTGTAATATCACGTGATCCGCGTACATCACTAGCAAATCTCATCACGAGACCTACGCCCATCACTAGCACTATAGCGAAACATATCACGCAATATCAAAAGTGTTCCTTAAGTGACGTAAATAGGTCACATTTTGGAACAGTCACGTCACAACAGTTCAAATATATCGTGACTAAAGCGATATACACCATTAGTAAGACTTTAACTTCACCGAAGGCAAAAGGGATGATCGTTCTACTTTCCTAATTGGTCAATGACGCGCACTTATTCGATCACGTGATATTGATCATGTTATCCTTGTACGGTCCATGGGTGTTACCGGGATGTCCGTTGATGTTACCATCGGTCCACGGTCCATGTTACCACTTGGTCCATGGTCTATGGTCCATGTTACCGTATGGTCCGAGCAGATTGTGTAGTGAAGGCGTGGGTCGAGTGTGCGAGGGGAGTGCGCGTCACGTGACGGGACGCTCACGTGGTGAGGGCGCGTCAATATGCGCGCCGGTCCTCTATGTCAGACACCTGTGGATAAATAAAATATTATAGTTTCCAAAAAAATCGGACACATGCGAATCGAACTCGAACTTGGTTACTTAACATGAAATATTGAAAAATATTTGCGTAAGTCTAAGAAAATATTAAACTTTAAATCTCAAGCACTTGCCGCTTTCCTATGATTTATGCACAAAAACTGAAGCAATCGAAACGGCCGCATGGATTTTAACTAAAACCATCTCTTAGGGTCACGGGATAGTCTCTCCCGTGACCATGATTGCATTAAAGCATTCGAAATTTCGGGAACAAAAAACAAAATAAATCCGCAAAGACAAAAATCGAAAAGATCAAGGTTTATTTAAAATGTTAAATATTCGCGTAAAACTAAAAAGCATTACGGCCACATGTACTCAAGCAAACAAGCCCCCACAAAGTCAATCCAAATGCCCTCTCGACATGTTTGAATTTGTGATGGCTTGTTGAATCTTGGCAAGCGTGTGGACTTGATATTATGATGTGGACCTTCTGGTTACCACTTGCCTTAACGATGAAGGAAAACATCGTGAGGAAACCAGCATGTATGTTAACCTAGCAAGTTTTCAAAAGACATGCTCAGTCCGCCAACCCGCACTTGGCCAGCGCGGCTATGGCCTGACCCTCCATGTGTTGAAGGGAGGCCCGTGCCCAGCAGTGGGACGTTAAAAAGTGTGGGAACACTCACATGATGGTGCTTAGGGCGCTTATGGGGAGGGTCGTCGGGCGCCTCCTCGATGACGAGCTCCCCGCCCAGCGACGAGCAGCCCTCCTCGCCGCTGTAACCGCTGTGGACAATTGGTAACAAACAATATAGTACTAACCGATTTCATAATGGAAGAAATTCCTTAATATCCCTTGAAAATTCCAAACCGCAAAATGGAAGGAAACTCCTTAACATATGTAGCGAAATTTGTAAAAAAATATATATTTTTAGTACTACTTACTATTACTGTTATGTCACTTGCGTTGATTAGTCTTTTTTCTTTGTTTTTTTTTAGGTTTTTTATTAGTTTTTTTTTCATTACTAATTTATTTATATGTTAATTATTTTTATTTTAGAATATAATGAGAGGAGAATGATTTTTTTAACCATAATGAGCTCAAACGAGACCCTTACAAATCTTATGTCTGTCTGCACATAATCCATATGTTGTAGCTATTTTTACTCAAACATTATTGGAGCTACATTGCTGAAATTTAATAGGAACCACCAGACAATGCTGTAATCAAATAGGTCATTAAAATGCAGATTAATATTTGTTTCTGCATGATTTTTTTGGTCAGGCTATTAGCGTGGATTATAACCTAATCACATTAGCATTGTTCAAAGTGGGTAAAGGGGTGCAATGATGTTTAAAGGGGTGCAAAGGGGGCTAAATTATTATACTATATATTATACTATTTATTATAATATTAGTATAATTTATTTAATGTATAGTATCGGTATCGTTGATTACAAGCATGCCTAATAGTAGCCCATATGTTACTCCAGGTCATAGTCTATGTACTAAAATCCATCAAAATCAGTTCAGCCTTTTCAGCGTACAAGGATAGCATACAGGCACATACAAAAATCCGATTATAATACAAGTAGTATAATTTTTAATTAAATTAATCTCGCTTTAATTAAAATAACTTATATTTCGCTCTTTATGTTTTATTTTATTATTTTATATGTAATGTTGCAGTTAATGATGAATGAATGAATCATTCTCAACATGATCACCATAATTTTGTCTTACATTGAAATATGTATATCAAGAAAATCGTACGAAAACCTACATGTTTGAGAGAATCTAGCAAGTTTTCGTAGGACACGCTCAGTCCGCCTCGTACTCGGCCAGCGCGGTGGACTCTGACCTGATCCCTCGTAATGAAGGGATGCCCACGCCCAGCAGTGGGACGTAAATAATGGTTGAATACAAATAAACAATAGGAACACTAACGCGTAGTAGGGCGAATGCTGGTGCAGCAGCAGGTTGGCGGCCTGCACCTCCTCCTCGGGGATGGACACGAGGCCGCCGCCCGACGCGCCCACCACGTACTTCTCTGTAACATATAATAATTACATATTATATGTAATGATACGTCCGTAGATACGTGTTTGTTCACGATTTCATAAGTTTTCTTTTTTTTTTTAGTAAAAATATTTTTCTCTTTCTTATAAGTACCGTAAATAATTCCATATACACATACATATTTAGTACAAGCAGACACTTCAATTTTATTTATCTGTAATGTATAGATGACGGAGAATTCTTCAATTTGGAATAACGAATTTACAAAAAATTGTTATTTATAGAATCCCGTAATAGAATCCCGTCAATATGCCCACCTTCCCTCTCCCCGCCGGCGCCGTTGGTGACGACGGTGATCTGGTGCCCCGGCAGCACCAGCCCGCTGCCGCCCGCGCTGTACGACACGCCCGCGCCTGACAAGCGATACACATCAATATATAAATAAATGTGTTGGGAATCAGCACACATCACCATCTAGTTCCATGGTAAGTTACGAGGCTTGTGTTATGTATACCAGATAAATCTATACTAATACTAGCGACATCTGCAGCTGCACATGTTAACCATTAGACCACAAGTACATATATCAGCAAGTTACCTGGTGAGCCCGGAGCGCTCTGACTGACCCCACTGCGCTGGGAGAACAGGTACTGCGCTGACTGGGAACTGTTGTTGTTATTTAAACGCTGACCGCTGTTTTGCTGAAATTATAATTATTTATTTATATTTATTTTATATATGTAAATTTAAAAAAAAACTAACAAAAAAATATTGCAATTTTCCATTAGTCATGAGTCCTAACAGTTTGGAAACAAAATGTTTCGGCACTGAGAAGAATTAGCGATGGTTTGTATAACTTTATATTTAAACTAGCATTGCCCTCCGCCCGCGTTCAGATGACTACAAACCAAATTTTTAGGTTTTACATATTAGTATACTCTTACATTGCAGTGTTTGTATTTTTCCTCAGAAATGAGATATTTTCCCGCAGTAAAAAGTATCCTATATGTTGACCCGGATATCCAGCTATCATCATACCAAATTTCATCAAAATCTGTCCCTATGTCTGGTAATATATCTCATCGTAGTCACCTGGTCATGCTCCTCGCCGGTGAAGAGATCGGGCGTGGGCTCGCGGGACAGCTCCTCGGGCGTCACCAGCCCCGACACGCCCACCTGCGACGGGCTGGTTGGCGCGCTTCTGGAAACATCGATACGTATTAACATCTCATAATACATCAGACATAGAAGCATTAGTAGCCTAGAGAAACGGGTTCAAATCCCGGGTCTCGCACCTCCGATATTTGCATGTGCGAATCATTTCCAACAAGATTACCATTTGTCTTACGGTGAAGGAAAACATCGCAAAGAAACCTGCATATCTGAAAGAACCTAGCAAGAACTTTCGAAAGACATGAAATCCGCCACCCCACACTTGGGCAGTGTAGCGGACTATCGCTTGATCCCCCTGGTATTAAAGGGAGGCCCGTACCCAGCAGTGGAACGTTAAAAACGGCTGACTACATACATACAATATACAAATATACAATACATACATAGACAATACAAACAATACTGAAGATTAGCAAATGAAAGGAATTTGATCACTTTTGTACAGGCTTTGGGCTTATCTTGACTGAAAGGTCACTAAAATATTCAAAATATAATTAACATACTCCAAAGCAGTAAATTAGTAATCTATCTTTATTAATTTCCCCTTTAGAAATGGCTGAAAAATGAAAAGCCAAGTTAAAGATGAAAGCGGTTTAGATTCTTTTATTTCTTATCTCTTAAACCCCCTAATAGCTTAAGCCAAAAATAAATAAGATAATGTTCTCCCGACCGATTCCGGCCATGGCGGCCAATCTCATTGAGACTAGCCAACTGCGCAGGAGATATTATAGTGTAGCGCGTGTGCGCGCAGATACAGGTGCACTCTCTATTCCTGTCACTCTCACACTCCGGTGGGACGACACGAGACACGACCAGTGAGTGTCGGCGCAGGACCGACGGCTTTACGTGCTCTGCCTCGGCACGGGGGTGAAACACCGCCAACTTACCAACTCCGGGCTGTTACTGAGGCTTACTGTACAGAAAGACTAAATAACTAAACTTGGCCCGACCCGGGACTCGAACCCAGGACCTCCGGGTGTGCAGCCGTACATGCTAGTCAATACACCACCAAGATACAACACTATCAATATAACAATATAATAAATAAGATATAGAACCCATAAAGACATTCCCTGAAGCATGAACTGAACGGAACCAACTAACTATAAAATATGATCAATACATTACCTGGAGGACAATCCAAAGGGCGCCCTGAACTGCACGCCGCGGGGCCGGCGCGGGCGGAAGGCCAGCTCGATGAGCTTGCCCTCGCTCTGAGGGTCGATGCGCCAGAAGCTGCCCTTGCCGGGCTCCTCCTGGCTGCGAGGCACCTTGATGAAGTACCTGGAAAATTATACATTTAGTTTCAGCACTAAATTTAGACAGCTTCACTCAATATACAAATTGTCATGTTAATAGATTAAAGTGTTAATATATAACTAAGCTAACTGATTTTATTATAATAAAGAATAAAAAAAATAAGTGAATTGAAGAGAACTAACTAATGCATAAAAATTTCATCCACATCACATACCCCAGAAATAAAATACCAAAAATACCGGGGCAACATAAACAACCAATAGTTCATTAATCATTGCAACTCACCACCGGTTAAGAGTTTGTGGATTATCCTCGAGTTCTGTATAATATTTTTTATATCCTTCAATATAATAGGAAAAGTACCAGGATCACATAAACAACCAGTTCATCCTAGTTACTTTACGGGATACAGGATATACGGCAAAACGTAAGGCCGGATCGCCGATCTCCGTTTCATTTCTAGTTTAAAATATATTTATCATGCTGTCTTTCAAACTTATTATCCGACTGCAGCGACCCTTGAATAAAATATCAAAGTACCAGGGCGACATAAACAACTAAGAGTTCATCAATAACTTACATACATCATAATATAACCATTGCAACTCACCGGTTTAGCGAGAGATTGTGACGTATCGAGTTCTGCCATCCCTTATCCGCGGTGCGGTAGTAGGGGTAGTGCTTCGTTATGTAGCTGTATATGCCGCTCAGGGTGAGCTGCTTGTCTGGCGCCGAGGCAACCGCTTGGACGATCAGTTGAGCGTAGCTGGAAAATATATGAAAATATTCGATACATTTTTAAATTAATACGTGAAGAGAAAACTTTGAACCTCTTTTTACGCATATTGCATGTAGGGAGGAATATGAGCTTTGGCATAGTTAAAGTTTATATAGAGAAGGACTGCAGAAAGCCAAAATTAATTGACTTTCTTTTACTCGCGAATCTTACTTCATTGATAAAAGATGTAGCATGATGTTAGTTATCTTTCATCAGTATTACCTATACGAGTACCTACATATAATAAAATTCTGAGTAGAATCTGTACATTAAATATTTTTTGGAAAATCTTATTGAAATAGACATTATTATCAATACAGAGGCCGAATGAATAGTTTTTAGAATTTTTGTCTGTCTGTTTATCTGTCTGTCTGTTACCGCATCACGGAAAAACCACTGGAGGGATTTTGATAAAATTTGATGTGATGGTAGCTAGTTATCCGGGTCAACATATAGGATACTTTTTACCGCGGGAAAATGTCTCATTTCAACATCGCATAACACGCCCAAATATATATACCAACACGAATTCAGCGGCTTCCTCATTTTTTGAAGTCGGTCAACAAGTAAATTTTAGATACTAAATAGTATATAGCATACCTGTATGGTGGTTTAGCATCGTCTCTACCCTCGCGGTGCTCGCGCGCGTCTCTCGCGTCGCGGGAGCTGTACCCCGATTCGGACGCGGAGGAGGCCTGCAATTTTAAAGTGATATCTAGTTATACATTACACATTTTTTTAATTATGTATTAATACTAAATCTATACAGATCAATAAAATGAAAGTGTCTCTTTGTAATGTCTCACAATAACAGTTTTTTACTAAATACATATAAAAGTATATACAAACATACGTTACTAATAAGAAAAAAAATAACATTTTTTTTAATTTTTGTGTCTGTCAGTTTGTTTCGGCTAATCTCCGAAACGGCTGATCCGATTTTGACGGGGCTTTCACTGGCAAATAGCTGATGTTATGAGGCGTAACTTAGGCTAGTTTTATTTCAGAAAAAAATTTAGGGTTTCGCTCAATCTAGGGAAGCATAGTATGTAGTCGCTAATAATGAATAAAAACACAACTGTATACGTACAGCGGTGCCATTGGAGTTGGGCCGCTGGTGTTCGGCTAGCACCGCGTACTGCGCTACGAGACCCAGGTCGGGGTGCCGCCGCCCGGACGAGCCCGCGCCCCGGGGGGATGTCGGACAGCTGTTCGTCGCACTTATTGTTCCTGGAAATATAAACATTTATAATGTATATGTGTGGATCTAGATTCAGTTTACCTGTATTAATATTTTGTATTATACAGATTGCATAGATTACGTGGGAAAAAAACCAGCTATACAGGAGATATTATAGTGCACAAGTGTATGACACAGATGCACGTACGATGCGAAGCTTATTCCTTTCATTCTCGCGAACAGTTACTGAGTTTCTCAACTGAAAGGTCCAATAACAATACTTAGCTCGACCTGGAACTCGAACCCAGATCTCCAGCCACACATAAAACCACTGCGTTATCAAAGTACAAAATTCACAAAATAAACAAATATGTCATATCTAAATACCATTTTTTTAAAAAAGAAACATAAAATCGAACAATACCAGGTCACATCGCTAGTAACCCAACTCCAAGCGGCAACACTCACCGGTAGGCGAAGGCGCCGGGCTGCGTCCGTCATTGTCCGTTGGTATCGAGATACGCAGCGGCGGCAGAGGCGGTCCGGAACTGCCCGCCCCGCCCCCGCTCTCCTCAACTAGCGACTGAAACTCCAGACGAATGTTGGTGGATGGGAAACGGAGTGTGCATCTGGAATTAAAATATGAAACATGTTAGAACATTACACAAACATTTTAAGATATCTTATAACATTAAATGAGCAATCCTTGTTATATAGGTATATATAGTCTATACTAATATTATAAATTTGAAAGTTTGTTTGTTTGTTTGTTTGACCTTCTTTCACGTCGAAACGGAGTGACGGATTAGCGTGTTTTTTTTTGTATAGATGTAGCTGGAGGGCTGGAGAGTGACGACATAGGCTACTTATTACCATGGGAGATCATCTAATTCCCACGGGAAAACACGTTATAATACAATCCAAAAAAATATTAATGATCAGAATTACTTGAATGGTATTAATGCTCTTCAATAAAATGAAATAAATACTTGTTTTAGCATTTATCGAAATTCATCCTATAAGGGCGTAAAATAGGGGATGAAAATTTGTGTGAAACTACATTTTTAGTTTTTTTTTTTTGTAGTTTTAGCGCGAGCGAAGCTGCGCGTTCTGCTAGTCGTGTATAAATTTATTTCGTGTATCTCGGAAACGTCTCTAACGATTTAGATCAAATTTTGTATTTAGATAAGGTTTTCACAAATTTGTAATACACACAACAATTGTATGTGTATCTCTCTTGGCCGATTTCGTCCACACCGACGGTAAAGACTAGATAAGTTTTGCTCTAATATTGTGAGTTAGGGTGATGATGATGATGTTATCCTAGCCGATTCCGGCTACGGCGGCCAATCTCATTGAGATTAGCCAACTGCGCAGGAGATATTATAGTGCTCAAGTGTACGCGCAGACACAAGTGCACTCTCTATTCCTATCACTCTCATACTCCGGTGGGACGACCACTCGACACGACCGGTGAGGGTTAAGGCGCAGGACCGACGGCTTTACGTGCTCTCCGAGGCACGGGGGTGAAACACCGCCAACTTCCCAACTTCGGGCTGTTACTGAGACTTACTATACAGAAAGACTCAATAACTAAACTTGGCCCGACCCGGGACTCGAACCCAGGACCTCCGGGTGTGCAGGCGTACATGCTAGCCACTACACCACCGAGGCAGTTAAAGTGAGTTAGGGTAAGGGTTTCGTTGCTTTATCCCTTGGTGCGCTCTTGAATGACTTGCATACCCGACTTTATTAGTAAAGGTACGTGCTCATTGTGGACATGATAATACACCGTCGATTAAATTATTGTAATAGCCACTGGCGATCCTGCCTTACGGTCATCCCTTTTCTTTTCAAGAACAAAAGAATTGAAAAAAATATTTTCCTATTTGTTCTATTTGTCTTCTTACATCCCCCTGACTCGGTTTTTAGGATTTTTTTGCTATGTACGACCTCTACTCTTTTATTATAGTATAGATATTTATATATAAATTTATTTCTTGTATCTCGGAAACCGCTGTAACGATTTGGATCAAATTTTGTATTTAGATAAAGTTTTACTTTTTAAGTTTATCTATATAGGTGTCCCTATTACATAAAAAAACATTTAAAACAAATAATATATTAAAACAAAACTTATACATATATAGGTACACAGTATTACAGAAGGAAGAATAAAATCGGAATATTTCACAAATCCGAGCTTGCCAACATAAATACCAAACTCGAAGTTATATTGTAACCTTGACCTAGCGTTATATCCTTTGATGACGTAAGAGACAGCCTTACTACAGCGATCTCGTAAATTTCTTTGTGTAGTTACGAAATGAATTACCGAGAGAATCGGTATTATTTTACAGTATATATTTGAAGACGGTGGCGATAGGCCCAATAATGTTGTACATAACTGTTAATATGTAAGTCAACGTTTGATATTCATAATTTAAATATTACTTTTAAACTAAAAAAATAAATATTCAAAATGATTAATCAATATAATATTATCTAATATTATAAAGAGGAAAGATTTTTTTTGTTTGTTGTTTGTTTGTTTGTACCGAATAAGCTTCGAAAGTACTGGTAATAATTTTGGTAAGAAGATAATTTGAGACCCTAGGAAGGACATAGGATTATTAGGATAGTTCGTTCTTTAAGTGGGTGAAAATCGGGATACAAGTTTGTATGGGGAAGCAACTTAGGGACGAACTCGAGCGAAGCGAGGGTGAGTCGCTTGTTAATTAATACAGCAATACACGCTTCAAAGCCCGCGGATACGCCGGCATGTCAGTTAACAATTGATTTCCCGGAAAATTATCACGGAGGCGTTTTGGTGATGAAGAGCCAGGAAACAGGTGGACCAGTCAGTCTGTAACTTACGAATTAAGGATCATTTGAATATTTTTTTTGAATTCATACCATCATCTATCTAGTATCTACATATGTACATCTGAACAAACAGAATATACATATATTTATATTGTACATTATACAATATACCTATAGTCACGGTTATTTGTGTATATAACACATTATAAGTTCTCCGTCTGGACAAATTCTGTAGACTCAACGTGTAGACCGACGCTAATCCAGACGCTTTCAACGAACGAATATATAAGACTAGAATTCCATAGCAAATTATATAACATTTTGTGTCACGCGATCTATAACTCAGCGAATGTCAAATGTTACTTATCGTCATCGAGAATGTAGCTTTACTTTGAAATTAATGCTATTTCCATTTTATTGACTTATATTCTTTATGGTTCACAAGCGTGCAAGTGGAGCAAATATTACTTCACATTTCAATCCCGGAAATCATCCCTTAAGGTGGTGAAAATGGGGATGAAAGTTTGTATTGGGCATCACTATTTATTTTATAATTGTGATAGTTTCAATATATGATACAAATTGCTCAATCGATTTTAGTGAAATTCGAAATAAAAACACACACTGACATACCACTCGAACAAAGTCACGGGCGAACACTATACTACCTATCACTAATCTCTCGCCACCGCAAACTATTATGAAAACAAATATTGTTTACAAGTTTCATTCATCATAAATTCATTACAAACAGCGTAATAAGAACGTTAATTATAATTAGTCTGCTTCCATTAAGGGCGTCGCGTTCTGACTACTATTCACTATGTATTTTATTATTACGCAACTGTATAAAATAATAATATACTTAATCGAACCGCTATTATTATAATTGCGAAAGTATGTATGTGTATATGATTGTTACACCTTCACGCTGAAACGCTGGACAGATATGGAGGTAGTACACTGATAGATTATGACCTAGATCCTAGGTCTAGAAGTAACACATAGGCTACTGATGAGACACATAAAGTAAAGCGAGAGCAAATCGATAGTAATGAATAAATTTACTATTTATAAAATACCTACTTACACTCGCTTCGCTTCGGGTTCGTCCCTAGAGAAAAACAAATCTATCCCACGGGAACCGTACGTTTTTCCGGGATAAAAAGTAGCCTATATACTATTTCAGACTATGATCTATCTCTATGTCAAATTTCATCCAGATACGTTCTGCCGTTTTGGCGTGAAAGAGGAACAAACCTCCATTCTAACAAACTTTTACATCTATACATACCTATAATAAAATTGTAACTAAGCCGAATCTGTACATTAAATAGTTTTTGAAAAATCTTATCAAAATAAACATTATTATCGATACAGAGCCCGAATGTATAGTTATTAGAATTTTTGTCTGTCTGTCTGTTACCGCATCACAGAAAAACCACTAGTGGGATTTTGATGAAATTTGGTATGGTGAAGCTAGTTATCCCGGGTCCATATATAGGATACTTTTTACCGCGGGAAAGTGTCTCATTTCTGAGAAAAAACAAAAACTCCAATAAGAATATACTAATATGTAAAACCTAAGAATTTTTTGGTCACCTGAACGCGGGCGGAGCGGCGGGCAATGCTAGTTTATAATATTAGTAAGATATGTAGCAAAAAAATAGTTAATAAGACACCATACCGCTATTGCCAAGCACATAAACTATTATATATATATATATATATATATATATATATATATATATATATATAGAGTGTAGATAAAACAAAGTATATATTACATATGCGTACTAATATTAAAAAGCGAAAATTAGGTATATTTTCCTTCTACGTAACGTAGCAACAACAAATCGACATGAATTTCTGCCGAAAGACGTAAATGCGTAAGTGCGAAGTCTGCAGGTGTTTTTCCAGTGAGAAATATCAAAAGACGCAGCAGCGTTACATAAAGCTATAGGTACGTTTAGTGAATAAAGCGGTGTTTAGCTTTACCACTGACAGGTAAATTGCGCTAATTAGCAGGGCTTTGCATCCGACTTAATATTTGATGAAAGTGCTGCTTCTTTGAGCCGTTTGCAAAGGACATAATACATATGACCATTTAATTAATCATACAGACATGTGTGTATGTTTGTTACTCCTCCAAATAGACCTTTAGTAACACATAAGCCAATAGTAGTAATAAAATTTGCCAAAAGGTGACACTTTATGTCTAAACCGATGATAATGGGACGGAACGGAACTAATGTTAAATAATACAAAAGAATACTTATAATATTATTTTAATTATTCATATTTTATATTAATAGACTAGGAAAACAAAAACATTTATCCCTCGGGAACCGTACATTTTTCCGGGATAATAAGCCTCTGTGTTATTCCAAACTATAATCTATCTCTGTGCCAAATTTCATCGAGATCCGCTCAACCGTTCTGGCGTGAAAGAATAACAAACATACATATTAAGTAATATTAGTATAGATATATAACATTTCCCTTATTATTTAAAGTAAAACTACCTTTATGGCAAAATCAAGAATAGTAGCATAAACAGCAAATTACGCTACTATTTTTGACTTCGACATTTACTTTGATGGACTCTTTTCTTTGGTCTGAGTCATAAAATAACAAAGTAATCCATTTCCATCACGACTACCGCGTGTACCCACTCGTACAACTGATAGGCGATAGGAAAATCCCTATGTATTGTGGGAGCATTAACAAATTATTCGCTGAATTGTATCCTTTGATATGTATTGCCCGTTGTTGTATTGCTTGTTCATTTTAAGTACTTGTT